AGTGAAATCGAAAAAAATATCGTCGATCTGAGCTAGCAAAACAAAGGAACGTTTATTTTCAAAATTCAAAAAATATCTGCTCCTTCCTATACTTTTCCAGCAGCATCACGACGTGATTCTCACCCATGCGTAGCGAGGCCATGGTGAAAAGCACGCTGAAACAACGCCTAAAACCGCTTTCATGAACGAACCAAACAGTTACATTAACACGTTAACACCAGCAGCTGTCCGCCGTCAAAAGTATCTGACAACGCCTAGATGGAGGCAGGGCATCGTGGAGCGGCGACTTTTGCATTATTCTGTGCCATTCTTATCATCCATCACTCGTGGCTAGCTGATTTCATTGATAATGTGGATGAACTGCAGCTCTGATTAGTCACCACACTGTCCAAGCGCGAACATAATAAGCATCGGAATCGGACAAGGCATCGTGTCGCGGTTGCACCCAGCAGCTGCGAGAAGGAAACCATGAACTGAGCGACTGAGCTTCAGCTTCAGATCGCCTGGGCTCAAAAGAAAGCCATTGGCAAAACGAAAGCAGAGCAGTCTCATTGTCATCGCTATCGGGCAATGGCGGCCCCCATGCTGGCTGAACAGCGGCGGTATAGCGGCAGTTTCCGGTTGTGCCAACGCGTGTTTTAGACTTCGTTGACACATTTTCAGGCTCTGAAAATGCATCGAAATGTTAAAAATTGGGTTTACTGCATAGCAATAAGTATCTGAGCCTGGAATTGCATCCTAAAACTTCATTGAAGCGGTACGATTGATGAAAAATTGTTCATTGTGGTGACAATATTTATGCATTAACTCTTATGGACTGCTGACGGGGAATCGTGAATTTTTCGTTGTAGCGGAAATTTCGTTGAAGCGGTGTTCGTTGTAGTGGAGTTCGACTGTATTCTGTATATGCCCTTCCTGCGAAAATCCCCGATGAGATTGGCGGTATGTAGAAATAAATAAATAACGTCTACAAAGTAGATTCGGAACTCCGGATTTCAATGAAGCACACGCTTGTTAGCCACATCAGTTGGGCTTCCACAGATGTTGAAAGAGGAGGAGAGGCTGAGGAAATAGTATCTTTGCCTGTCACCTGTAAAGTGCTGTTGGCAACATTTTAATTGCACCAAATCATGCACATAAATATAATTCGGCCTCTGCATCGCCTCATTCATGATAAGACAACTACGAAACACCATGCTGCCAGCACGCCATCAACCTAGCCAAAAAAGACACTTTCATGTTGCTGTATAATAAGAATATGCTTAGAGATTCTCTCCAACTTCTTTCTTCTGCATTTCCGCTTTAAGAAGCTACTATTTAAGTATCAGCGCTTCATGATAGGACGTCGACAGCATTGCTACATGATAGGATACATGGGCAACGCTGACAAAACTCCGATCTGGTTTGATATGCTCTCGAACCGGACTGTGACAGCTAAAGGATCCAAGCAACTGAAGCTCTTGACAATGGACAACAAGCATTCCCGATTTACAATGATGCTCGCGTGCACAGCCGATGGAAAGAAGCTACCCCACTATATTATTTTCAAGAGAAAAGGGCTACCAAAAGAAGACTTTCCCGGGGGTGTTATCGTGAGAGCGAACGAAAAAAAGAGTTCATGAATAAGTTCCTCATGCTTGAGTGGATCTGGCTCGTGTAGAATCGGCGACTTGGAGCGCATTTCAGTGCTCGACTCATTTCAAGTCCACCTCACGGCCCATGTAATGGGAGCTCTGCCTGATGGCAAGACGGATCTTGTCGTGATCCCTGGGGGACTAACATCAATCCTTCAGCCACTAGATGCAGTATTCAATAAACCTTTCAAAGGTCACGCGCGTGAGCTCTACAATCAGTGGATGCTGGGTGACATTCCCAAAACCCCCTCTGGATGTCTACGATGTCCACCGCTCGCGACCGTTTATGGTTGGTGTGGTCAGCATAGAGATGTCTCCCGGAAGAGATGATGTGCAAGTATTTCTGCAAATGCTGCATCAGCAATGCATTGGATGGGACGAAGGACAGTGCACTCTGGGACGTAACTAGTGAGAAACAAATGTCGTCAGACTCAAGTTCGAATGAGTCTGAATGACAGCACTTTGTGGCCTTCTGACCTATAAATACATAAGATTAGTGTCAAAATAACGAAGAGTGTTACCACAGTGCAGCTGTTTGTGTCGCGTATTTGCCAAAGTAAGGGTGCACTGCAATACCGTGTGATTTTTAAAAATTTATTTTTCAGAGATTCGAAGTTGGGAGGGCCGACCTATATTCTGGTCCGACCTATATTCCAGTTACAGTAGCTATGGTGGCTAGAGAAGGAGGTGTCAGCAACGGCGCGTCAAAGATACAGCATTTTTTCAGGATGCGTCGTCAACGGTATTATGGTTTCAATGGTAGCGCCACCACACCGGCGTATCTCTCGGGCGAGATTGGCAACAACACCGGTACTCGCCACATATGGGTATGACAGAGCATTTGGCTCACAAAGAGACGCGACATGCGTTTAGCGCTCGTTAACAATGAAACATACGTTTATCTGTGGCGAAAAGCTCTACATGCATCTCTCGCACGTAAAAAAAGGTGATATTTATTGTTGGTGAAAGACGTGACATGCGTTCCTCACTTTATAGTGGATGGTGTACTCTAACACCGCTTGCTGACTAAGCAATTCAAACATTCAGATTTCCTACAAAGCACCATAGGCGTTCCATGAAAATGCTGGCAGCGTCATGAGTTCATAGAGGAGGTCGTGCGTGTGGGCTGGCAACACTTTCCAGGGACTAAACCACATGACCAGCCACATGCGCCCCACATACGTGCCCACAAGCGTCTTCACATCTTTTTGCACTTATGCCTGTTCGCCATTTCCCCCTTTCACCTCGCTTGCGAACAATGGTGTGTGCAATTTGTGAAACTGCTCAACGGACGCCTAGATGCCCCTGCTACACTAGCAACAATACAGCACTGCTTTCCTGTGGCAAGCGATCCTTTACGCAGAGTCCCAAAGCAACGTTGAAGCAGGGCGGAAGTTCGATTTGTCGGAAAAGTGCATGAAGGAATAGAGAAAACAAAGGACCAAGATCTTTGCATGCGCTGTGACACAGCGTTCCTTTTGCAGACTTAAGTCTGGACGGTACCCTGCCATTGAAAAGGCGGTTCGAGATTGGGTTCACGACCAGAGAAGCAAAAGCATATACTGCCGTGAAGGACATGTGCATCCCACTAAGCGAGTACAAGTATCAAAGAAATGGGTCACGAACCAACATGGTCCGTGCAGCGTTTTCTACATGCGGCATTGCAGTACCAATGGCACCCCTTCCCCGATGGCGAGCAGCAGCAGTGGCTCACACGATGTCAATGACCATGAATGCTGCATCCTTCTCTCAAGCGACGATGAGTCGTAAGTGTTGTTTCATGGTCAAATAAATGTTTCTTTAAATGAGAATGCATTTCTTAGTCAGGCTATGTCAGGCATCCGGCATTGTACGCACCCCGGCCGGTCTTATCTCTTCGCTATCACTCCCTTTCTCATAGCAATGGCTGTGAGCGCACGCGCTTGTCCTCGCCCCTAGCAACCGGAGGCTGCAAGAGAGTGTAAAAGGTAGGTGAAGTTCTTCGCCGCTTCTTCTCTTGCCGTTCGCTCTCTCTCCTCCCTTCGCCCGGCTCTCCCGTCCGCTCGCACCTCACTCTCGACCATTTGCTGGCTGGGTGCCTCTCAAGAACACCTGAAAATGTGTGCCCGAGACGCCGCTGTGAAACACCAACACCAATCCGAGAACGCTGACACTCCACTCTCCCATCTGCTCGCTCCTCACTCTCGACCTTTCGCTGGCTGATCGCCTCTATAAGAGATGGCAGTCGATGAAGGCGAATGTCTGACGGCAACAGTACCCTCTATTGACGCAGAAAATACATTTGCATTTCCTCACGATTCCATTTGGGGAGGTAAGGGCATTTTTTCTTTTGGCTTCACTCTCTCTTCTGAAAGACTTATACCCCTGTCACACGGGCACCCGCGAAGGCCGTTTAACTCCCTCGTCCTTACGACAACAAAGATGCGCTCCGTGTCACACGGCCACCCTTACCCAAACGAAGGTAAACGGAGCGTTTCCCAAAGGACGTTCAACGATCTCCCTTCGCAGCGAAACGAGGTACTCTTGTCCCCAGCAGTCTAGAGGTCAGAGAAAAATTTCGAGCACTAAATGGCCGCAGTGAAAGAATAATACATTTTGGCAATCTTAAACGTTCTTTCGTTGCAGTACTCATTCACAACGCATGTTTGTTTACATATATTTACGACCGCAAGAGTTCACTTACTCTCAACACCGATGCTCTACACTCCGTGCCTCGCACGTGGTGCCTCGCGAGTCGGGCCGGCCGGCGCCATTGAAAAATATTTCGCCCATGCATGTGGTTGTCGTCGCTGCTGTGTCACTCATGGCTGAAGAACACAAAATGTGCGCTCACGAAGCAAAGAAGCACAAGAACTTTGTACACAGGCATGAACACAGGCAACAAAACAACTAAAAGCACGATGTGGCCAGCGTCACTAGCAGCATCGCTACATTTAGCAAATTAGTTTTTCTTTGAAAATATTTTTATGGTTTGTTAGCCTCTTACCTCCTTAATAGTGGTTTTTTATAAAAACCCTAGAACGAGGATTCACAAAAAAATCAATAGAGATGAAATTAGAATACTTTTCCGAAAATCAAACAGCGCCAGCTGAGCCCCCGCCCGCCAACTGTTACAACCTTTTCATTGCCGTGTGACACTGCTACAACTCCTTCTCTGTCGAACCACCTAGGGGAGATTTACTGACGGTGTTCAACGGAGTTTAGTGGTGGCCGTGTGACAGGGGTATTACTGGCGTGCCACAGCTACAGCATGAGGCCGTGTTTGCAGTCAACTAGAAGGGGTTGGAAGTTTGGGGACAATATACAGTAAATTTATGGATCGGATGTGATCCCCTTGTACACGCTGCATCAATGGACGTTACTCACAGCCTTTGTGCCTCGTAGATGGCACAGCATCAGAGTTCTGTGTGGAAACGGTCGTGTGCATAGTGGTGCCACCGCTGCTAGTTTCGGTGACATGCTGAGAGGATGAGACCTGGAGCACTGCCACCTCGTTGGGCTTTTCGGTAGAGTGAGCACTGCCTTGAGGATGGGGCAGGCTTCCGGAGGCTGAAGAACCAATGGACACCAGGGAGCCTCGCGAGCTTGACCGGCTTAGAGAGTTCTGTGCAAGGCTCTCGGCAATGCTCTGAGTCGTAAAAGACAAAAGAAAAACGTTATAATAATAAGTACACGCAGTTCTGCCAATGTGGCACTGAAACAACTTGCACATCACTGAGAAAGCTTTGCTTTAAAAAGTGTACGAACCACCCCTTGCGCCTGGTGCAAGACTGCACCCCGTGGAAAAGACACTGCTATGAACAGCACAGCCAAACCTTGAAGCCGTGCACGACAAGGAGAGTTCACAGGTACAGCGCAAAGCTGCCATTTTTCCTAGGTGCCCTCTTTTCAAAGAAAGTCTGCGCTAAGTTTCTTCAGAGCTGTCAGTATCTGCTGTTTTGTATCACAAAACAGATGGCATGCTTATTGGCCAACAGCCGACATCAATTGAGAGCGGCAGTTGAATCAGATGTGCTTCTTGCCATGTGGCATGCTTATGATCATGACGAGGGCCGATGCAGCTTCTTTTTTTGTGCCATCTTTCCTTGTGTATATTCAAGCATGCTCGTAGGATGATAGAAGTGAGAAAGTGCTTAAATTATTTATTATTTATTGTGAAATCAGTGATGTATCCCAGTAACTCCGGTTATTCTTGATGGATTTGACAAATTTTTGCACCAACTGATTCGTGAGAAAACACTGATAGTAAGGTCATTCGACGGTTACTTGAGGAAATGGTTCGAGACTCCTTTGAATCGAGAGGCAGAGAAGCAACCTCAGCGATGGCAACTTTGTTCACAGCAACCATGTTAGCTGTTTTGCGACATCACAGGCACACATGAAATGTTGAAGTTTAGCTAAGAAATTTAGCAACAATTCAGTAGCACAAAATGAAATTCCAGTAATCCTATGAACTTTTTTTGATGAACTGGTAGATGGCAGCATCATTGAATAAGCCCGAACAAGACTTCGCACAAAAAATTTTTGTTGGTGTTTTGGGTTTCACAAAACACCCACACGTTGATTTGATGAAGCAAGTACCAAAGCTGCAGATAAATAATCAGCCAGCTTGACTATTAATAAAGACAGCTTGTTTCAAATGCAGTACACTAGACTCAGAAAAACAGTTTCATTTACTGTAAATATATGCAATCAACGTACTAAATCGGCTTAACTTGAAGTGTGTTTGTTTCTTCATGAGTTGAGATAGCCTCTCCAACTTCAACATTGCTGTGAGCAAGCCTTTAGGTATGCCGTGAACTAGTGGCAATGTCTTTTTGATTTTCGTCAATTGATATTGCTTGCAAGACGCTAACTCTGCTTTCAAGCAAAATGGAACTGGCCTCCTGTTTGTGTAATAATGCCCACAATATTACACAAACAGGAAAAACAAAATAAAAATGCAATTACCTTTTTCTGTGGGAAGAACTGGCATTACTCTCTTTTAGCATAAAAACCTGCTAAGTGAACAGTTAAAAGCGTCATAATTTTATTTTCTAAAGAAAGAAAATCAGTCTGCTTGTAACATACTTTTATTAGTTTCAAATAATCATACAAGAATCTCCAGGGTCAACTTACAGTAAAGGATTTATAAAACGCGCAAGTTTCAAATATGAACGGAGAAAAATGATGTACAGCTAGCCTGATCTGAACAGGGCAATATCATAGCCGCTGCTAGCTCGTGGTAGTCGCGCCACTAGCCAGATAAAATACATAAGGAAAGGGAAATGCAAGCGATGGTACCTGCCATGCCATCCTAGATAATTCATTGACCGCTCGCACTGTCAGGGCTAGTAAAATCCCAACCAGCTCTAAACACACCCACAAGTCACAGTGCGGCCGACGTTATGCTGCACAGCAAAATATTAGGCTTGGGCAAATAGTGAATTTCAGATTCGAAGTGAATTCGAAGCGGATAGTGACTTTGGTAGAATGATTTTAAATTGTGTATATAGGTATCACATATTATAAAAAGAAGATGGGCATATTTTTTACGATTTAACTAACCTACAAAATATTTTTTTTAAAGTTGAAACAGGACCTGTGCAAATGCGATTTTTGGTTCAATGGAAGTGGAAACAACTTTGAATAGTAGCAGGGTACGACTTTCAGTAGAATGCAAGTGATAACCTGTAAAATTTGGTATGCTTTGAAATTTACAACACCTATAGCATACAAGACAGAAAATCAGGCTTTTAAATTAAAAACATTATGAATCGTTATGATGGCAATATATAACCTTAAAGTGGGACTTCGCAGCAGTGTGGGTTTCCCCTAGATAGGCGTTTTCACGGCTTAGCACACCTCTGGTTGCAGCGCAACCATTTTGGTTGCGCTGCAACCAAAATCTGTATGTAATCCCTCTAAAAATGGTTGCAGCACAACCATTTGAGGGATTACATACAATTACACCTATGCGTTCATTTCGAATACTTAAAAAAATTTTGCCTTTCATAATTCGAATTGAAGCAAATTCAAGTACAGTTGAATGATATTTATTTCAGTATTTGTATTATTTGAATATTCACACAAGCCTACAAAATATATTTCACATATTTGGCTGCATAGAGCAACTGGTCAATGATGACAACTTCGTTGCGAAGGATGATGACTGGTGACGTAATTGCAGCCATCGATGAACACACTAGTAATGTTGCAACAGAAAAATACCAACACAAGTGACTCATGGCTGAAGCGGCATAATTTCTACGCCCGGTGCTGTTGTTCCCGAGCATGCTGAGAGCGAGAGTTAAGCGTCTTTCATTTACCAAAAAAAGGGTTGGCCGGCGGAAATCACTCTAGCAAACAGCTTGCATACGAAACGATAGCTCGCTCAAAGCTTATGAGTGAAATCCTGTGCCAATGTTGCTGCAGACGCGAGTTCACTGGGTTTTTTTTAGTTGTTGTTCATTAGCAGGGATTGCGAGTAGCGATATCGCTTTCTACCAGCTATCCCTGCTTTAGGCAATGGAATGTGCATGACACTCTCGCTATCTGGCCGCTCGAAAACAGCAGTGCTGAAATTTCCATCTTGAGACTTTGCCACTCTGGCCGCCGGTCACTTATGCAAATCTTACGTTGTGACTGTAGGTAACATAAGTGTGTAGCGAGCCACAGCAGAAAATACGGGGGTTAATTTGTATAGTTTTACCCTTTTTCTTTCTTCTTATTTGATTTTTGTGGCTTCTGCACTTGGGTGCATTCCTCCACCCATCAGGCATTACGTAGAACTTAACCAAGAAAAACAAGGAGTACAGCGGTGAGGTAATCTACGGACTTACGTTAGGAAGACAACTGCAACAGCACGCAAGCTGTCGGGAGTGTTCAGGCAAGCGTCCTCTAATATTAACAGCGCCTCCGAGGCTTCCTGTGAGGTGCGATGAGGTCGCGGCTGTATCTCCTCGCATAATTCTTCATTGGAATCGTGGTCTTCATGGGCGCCCGTGACATCATTAATAATCTCTTGATCGGTCAGGAGACCATTCGTGGCGACATTATGATCAATCGCGATGTAGTTCTGCCGCTTTTTCGGCGTTGCCATCACTGTAGCGCACGATGGTGGTGGCATGCAAATACGGTCACAATGGAAGAAAAAGAGGACTCCGCAAGAAAAGACGATTCCGACACGACAACACAAGGGAAAATGGCGTCGGAGGCGCTGAGTAGAGAAGAAAGAAGACGCCGACGTTCGATGACGCTGCAATCGCCCCCGGTAGTTGATGATGATGGCGATGCCACTCAGGTTTCGGTTTCACTCCAGTTGTGGCAGCGCTGCTTCATCACACTATTGTGTAGCAGCAGCCGTCAGCATTTGTCTGAATTAAGCGGTGCGGAGCCGAATTCCGACGAAATAACGAAGGTTTGGTCCCATAGATTAACATGCACTTTGGCCGGGACCAATAGAGCCGTCCGAATTATCTGAATTTTCGAATTAACGGGTGTCAAATTAACAAGCTTTTACTGTAGTGACTTTGGTAGAATAATTTTAAATAGTGTAGATAGGTATCACATATTATAAAAAGAAGATGGTCATATTTTTTACAATTTAACTAACCTACACAACATTTTTTAAAAACTTCAAACAGGGCCTGTGCAAATGCGATTTTTGGTTCAAAGGAAGTGGAAACAACTTTAAATAGTAGCAGGGTATGACTTTCAGTAGAATGCAAGTGATAACCTGTAAAATTTGGTATGCTTTGAAATTTACAATACCCATAGCATACAAGATGAAAAATCAAGCTTTTAAATTTAAAAAAATTATAAATCATTATGAGGGCAATATATAACCTTAAAGTGGGACTTCGCAGCAGGTGGGTTTCCCCTAGATAGGCGTTTTCACGGCTTAGCACACCTCTACTTCAGCGCAACCATTTTGGTTGCGCTGCAACCAAAATCTGTATGTAATCCCTCTAAAAATGGTTGCAGCACAACCATTTGAGGGATTACATACAATTACACCTATGCGTTCATTTCGAATACTTAAAAAAATTTTGCCTTTCATAATTCGAATTGAAGCAAATTCAAGTACAGTTGAATGATATTTATTTCAGTATTTGTATTATTTGAATATTCACACAAGCCTACAAAATATATTTCACATATTTGGCTGCATAGAGCAACTGGTCAATGATGACAACTTCGTTGCGAAGGATGATGACTGGTGACGTAATTGCAGCCATCGATGAACACACTAGTAATGTTGCAACAGAAAAATACCAACACAAGTGACTCATGGCTGAAGCGGCATAATTTCTACGCCCGGTGCTGTTGTTCCCGAGCATGCTGAGAGCGAGAGTTAAGCGTCTTTCATTTACCAAAAAAAGGGTTGGCCGGCGGAAATCACTCTAGCAAACAGCTTGCATACGAAACGATAGCTTGCTCAAAGCTTATGAGTGAAATCCTGTGGTAATGTTGGTGCAGGCGCGAGTTCACTGGGTTTTTTTTAGTTGTTGTTGTTCATTAACAGGGATTGCGAGTAGCGGTATCGCTTTCTACCAGCTATCCCTGCTTTAGACAATGGAATGTGCATGACACTCTGGCTATCTGGCTGCTCGAAAACAGCAGTGCTGAAATTTCCATCTTGAGACTTTGCCACTCTGGCCGCCGGTCACTTATGCAATTCTTACGTTGTGACTCTACGTACCATAAGTGTTTAGCGAGCCCCAGCAGAAAATATGGGGGTTAATTTGTATTGTTCTACCCTTTTTTTTTTCTTCTTATCTGATTTTTGTGGCTTTTGCTCTTGGGTGCATTGCTCCACCCATCAGGCAATACGTAGAACTTAACCAAGATAAACAAGGAGTACAGCGGTGAGGTAATCTACGGACTTACGTTAGGAAGACAACTGCAACACCTTGCATGGCACACTCAAGGACACCTTACTATCTCATTCATTTATCCAGCATTAGCTGATGTGATATTACTGAAAACAGGTTCAGTGGCTGATACTAGCTGCGATTTCCAGTTGTCAACACATTTACATAGAAGTTGTCATTCTGAACATTCAACCATAAATTGAGCCACAAATCGAACATTGCGCCAAGCTCATAGAGCAATATGACAACCTGTGCATGTGCGGCCATTCTTTACGTCGAAGGAATTAGCAAGGCTCTTTCCCGCGTATTGTCAAAATATAATTTGCGCATTGCGCACGTCCCTACCAACAAGCTCTGAAACTAGCTCGTTGATGTGAAAGATAGGCTGCCAACTCAAACTTACTCTCAACGCCTCAAGGAGCACAAACTTGACGTCACCAATAACAGTTACACCACAAATACTATTGCTGAGCCTGTGCATGGACATGATGCTGTCATTGACTGGGACAATGCCGCTGTGATTACCAAGAAAAAGAACTTGTCATCACGCCGGCTCCAAGAATCCCTAATCATCCAGTCAACGCCAGCTACAATGAATAGGACAACAGGGACTAGGCCTGCTATCGACACACACTCATTGCGTAACCTATTGGGTTCTTAATTGACGATGACTTGTGGTCTAGCTCAATGAACAAGGAACTCGTACGCAGTTACGAAACGTCAGATCATCATCAGACTTGGTCAGTGACCATGTTTCACTCTCCTCCTCCCCAATACTCTTAACGATTCTTTTATTTTAGGGATGTATTGCTTAATCTGCTTTAAGTTTACAGCTTTAGATTGTCTCCTGCTGCAGCAAGCCTGTGACTGTATCCACCAGTTCCCTATGTGCTTATCAAGAATATTGTGACTTAAATGTATATACATTTGATGTCTTCGACTAACTGAAAAATATTCATTCTAGCAGTGCTATGCAAACACTAGCTGGCCAGCAAAATGTCACTAAAGAGGTTGCCGAGAGTCTGAAGGGACAATGTTGTTAAAAGGTGAATGAATATTTACAAACTTCAAGAGATGCAACATGAACTTTTACATGCCTCCATCATTTCGAGCTTTTCCGGATATGCCAAATCACCGGGTGCAGGATTGTAGCCCAGGATATCCGTGCGAATGTAGACCAAGGTACGGTAGACCAACCGCTCCTGCACGTCTTCGAGCATTTGCTGAGCGATCTTGCAAAACGCTCGCAGCTCATTTGCTGCAATTGTCAGACAAATAACAGGGAGGGTTAAAAGATGACAAGCGAACACAAAACACGAAGAAATGGCGCACTTATGGGACAAGTTTGATCTCTGAACGTGAATGTACACATTCAGCAAAAATTTTCCGCAGAAAAGTAAAGTACTTTGTTCAAACTATTGAGCACTGTAGACAATAGATTATTCAACGTCCACAAACACCAATAAGCATGTTTCCTAATAACCATACTAGCGTTCTTGTGAGGCAGCTTGTTGAATGAAAGGTAACCCTGTTACTTTTGCACATGGTGAGTATGAAAACAGCAGGCCTGTATGCTGTCGCAAGACGTGTAAGCCTGGCTCCTGTTTTTGCAACAAAGCACTGTGCAACAAACAGGACTCCTAATGTGCCTCTAGCACTTCATTTCCAATTCAATAATGTACAGTAATTTGTGAACTTGGTAAAAGGCCCGTTGTGTAGCACTCTGAGTATACTTACGATTCGCAGCAACATGTTGTTCCATCATTTCTACCTGAAAACAAAAATTTCTGCAATAAGATTTCTGCCTAAAGCAAAGGTAATGAATAAAACAAATGGTTTTTGTTCAAATGGAACAATGCATGGAATACATAAAAAGAGAAAAAAAGAGGCACTGTACCTTCAATATACTGCAGAGTTCTGCCAGTGTTTCCAGGTGATTGATGTGAATTATGATGGGACGAAAGACATCATACAGTCTGCAACATAAGTGACCCAGGAAGTCGCTAGAGAAAAGAAGAAAAAACAGACATACATTTATGTTATACACTTGAACCTCAATATAATGAACCTCTATATAACAAAATAGCGGTTATAACAAAGTAAATAAAAAATTGTCTTGCAATAGGTGTAGCTTTAAGAATAAACCTATATAACGAATTTTTGGATGTAACGAACTTACTTTCAAATGTGATGTAACCTTGTTATAATGAGGTTTGAGTGTAGTAATGCTTTCACAGTTAGAAAATAAGCGATATTTCAATACACACAGCTATACTAACTTCCATAATATAGCCGAGCCTGCGACAAATGGTCTACATTACGCTGCTCCTAATCAATAAAGAATCACTACAGAATAAGCCTGTTACAACTCGACTTTGAGACTAGTCACAGTGTTTCAATAAACTACGGCATCAGAAATTTGCCTGACACAAAAATGTGAGTACCACATGTGCTTAACCCTTTCAAAGAACATATTATTAAGGTATAGTACCTGGTTATGGAATGCAAGATAAGTAACTTCCGTATTCTGAAACGCTCCTTGACTTGAACTTGACTTGCCACAACTTTCAATGCAACACAAACACATTTTGAACGCGCTGACTTAGGTGGTACCAAGGCAGCACGAACACACAGATGTGTTTCAAACACGCTGCATTGAAGCCACTGGCAAATCAAGTTCAAAATCAGGGAGTGTTTATGAATATGGCGGTAAGTCACCTTGAAACTCAACCAATACAGTGTAGCAGCTTGATGTGCGTTAAAGTATTTTTTGCTACCTCGCTGCTCTTTAAGTGCGGTAAAACTTCAGTTAAATGAATCTCGCAGGGTAACCAAAAATATTTGCATCATTCGAAATTCCTATCATCAAAAACTATGAAAACTTAGCATGCAATAAAATAAAGCTGGCAAAGTTTTTAGACAGTAACTATCATAGTGGCAGTCATAAATATAAGGCCTGTGCACGTAAATAATAAACCAGGTCTGCTGTCACCTGCAACTAGTAATCCCTTTGTATTGTTTGCACACTTTCCTGCATGACATTAGAGTACTGCAGCGAAAATGACTTAAAGGCCAACTCCGGCGATTTTTTGAGGTCAATGAATAACAGTGAAATGCAGTGGGTGCATTCATTTGCAAGTTTCCCCATTTATGACAAATTAGAGGCTTGAAATTTTCGCATATTGTTTTCAAATTAGTTTCATAGATTGCCTCGAAACGCTCATCTAGATTGCCAGAATTATTGGCAACATTGTGCGTGTGACGTCAAGCTCTGCAAGGCAACGAGAGCGACGGAACTTAGGTGCCACTGCAGCGTCTCGCTATCTGCTGTGGATTGTGTGTGTTTGGCCGGCGCATCCGTGTTTGAGCCTATGATTTCTTTTTCCATGCGGGTGAGTGTGCGATGGGTGGCAAGTGGTATTTCGCTGTGGGCCGAATACGATAAAAGCCATTAAACACAGCCAATGACTACGCTTTGTGTCGATTGTAGAGTGTTTTTGGCTAGCGCTGCCGGCTTACCACACGGAGAGTATGGTTAATATTGTGCCTGTTAAAATGCACACATGCACGAACTTCAATGTAATGAAACACTTTCTCTGACGAATGCTGGATTCACCGAGACCGCATATATCAGTGTATTATTAGCTACACATCGTGAGAAAGGTATTTACTCGGCCGACATTAATAATCGAATTTTTCAAAATCATACTGTGCTTCACTAACTTCTGCCCTCTTTCTATAATAACATTAAAGAGTCTTACTTTGACAATGAACTTCTTGGCATGAGCACTTTAGCGTATTGCCACCGCCACAAACTCGGACGACCTTGACAAGTGGTGCCATTTAGCGGTGTTATGTGCAATCAGGCAAGCAGATGCAAAAAATCTGTTCTGCTTCATCGAAGAGGAACGGTGATGCTTGTTGACCAACAATTGCATTCGAATTGTAGCTGTCATTGTCTGACAGTACCAAAGAGCTTGTGCACATGAAACGATCAGTCACAGACATGGTGCGGTGCGTTCACCTATCTGTGGAGTGCGCGAAGCATCTCCTCTTCCTGGCTTTCGCAGTTTTCGTACTCAGGGCTGGCGCGACCGACATGCCTTGCCGGATTTCCGGTTCTTGCTAAGTGTCATATGTAGACAGTACACTCGGTTGGGTTTCAGTTTCAGCATTATGCCTTTTTGCTTATTAAAGATTATTTTCAATGTGGCCGAGCATTACAGCTATCGGGCACTTGACAAGAGTCTCGAGAACATAAAAGCACGATTATTCAACATGATAAAAAAATCGGCGGAGTTGGCTTTTAAGGAGCCTTTTGTTGCGATAGATGAAGGCTAGAAAATGTCAGAACCCCTGTCCTTTGTTGCTTTTTCATTGTAATTTTGTTGAAGAGGTTTTCCAGGAAATTTATGGCGGTGCCCATGCAATCGAAAAGATGTCAGGCGTGTGCGTCCCAAACAGTCATGCATGATGTTGCAAGGCCTAGCTTCCTTGCCAATTTAGACTATCCACTTCTTTCGGTCCTCGTCCACCTTTTATAAAATGTCTAATGCGCGAGGACATGGTATGCACTGACGTGGTAGGCACGTGTAAACACAGTACGACCGCAGCACATGTCGACGCGTAAAAAAAGAGCAATGACACTTCAACCTGTAATTCAAACGTGAAGACATACAAAGGTGCATTAGGCCTCTAAGATTTGCACACACACAATATCAGGGGCTACAACACGTCCCTGAAGATTTATTCTGGCCATGGCGCAAGAAAAGTATTTTGCTTCAGCCGGATTCTAATGAAATGGTGGCGCGCATTCCCTCGCTTAGGTTTTGCCCGAGAGTGCTTGTCATGTTTTCCGTGACTGCGTGGGCAGCACCTGCTGATATCTGCATGATAGCATGAAAGCATCAAATGTCACAATGTGAAAATTGGTTCGCAACAACCACACTCTATTACAGTGCATGTCGATGGGCCTTGGCTGGGACCATAGAAAAGTTCACTTCACCCCGAAATTCGTACGAGCAGTGATTGTATCAGAGAGGTTTAACTGTAGTATGTCCTTGGGTGAGATCGTGTGAAAATGTCATTTGCCAAACGTTTGCTTGCATCTAGTGATTCAATGAGCGACCCCCAGCGCCTTGTTGTGCTATGAAAAAGTGGTGCTCAATGAAGTATGAGAAGCCAAGTGAACATTTGGAATGTGAGAAGCTGTACATTCTCATTACGTATAGTATGTATACATACAAAAAGCTGGATTCTGAAGTTTTATAGGCCAAAACCATGATACAATAAAGACACATCCTGTGGTATATAAATCACAAATTAATTGTTGCCACCCGAGATTGTGTCGTATGAGTGTAAATCTAAGTATAAAGTGCTTTTGCAATTTACCAACAGAAATGCGACACATGAGGTTGGGCATTGCACCCATGTCTTCAGGCTTAACGGTGCAACACCATAACTGCCACCATCACCATAACCACCATCATCATCATCAACCTGGCTACGCCCACTGCAGAGCAAAAGTCTACCCCATGTTTGCTGCAGCCACATTATACTCGCGGACTTCTTGATCTCATTAGCCCACCTAACTTTCTGTCTTCTCCTCACGTGCTTGCCTTCTCATGTAATCCAGTCCGTTACCGTTAATGAACCAGTGGTTAGGTATCTTGCCTACACGCTACATGCCCTAGCCATGCCCACATGATAAACTACCATACAAGAGCAACTGCACGAGTAAACTTACTCCAACAATGAAGTGGCCTTGGAGAAGAACTGCATGTACAACTGGTGTTCATCTTCACAGAGGTGCACCAGGAAGGCACACCCACTTCTGACCAGAGCACAATGATCGCGCTGGTGAGTGGCTGCGAGTTCTTTCATGGCTGTCGACACGCTAGGCCCGAGCAGAGTCTCTCGTTGCCCAAAATAGCAGGTATGGCAAGCATCCATCAGCTCTCGATACCTGGATGTACACAAAAGATAAACTGTATGCAGCACTCATTAAAAGTCTGAGAGCGTCAATACACAAAAGTTCTGACACCGCAACAATTGTGCATGGGCCCCTTTAAAAGGAGATAGAAGTTTTCGACTTGAATGCGGAGTTTTCTGAAAGGGGCACTGACATCAAATTTACTCATGTGAAGATTTTTGCGTCAAGGAGTAGCTATTGATCCCCTAGTACAGATTCGCGACCTATAAGGCAACTGAGGGACAAATACCTATCAAGTTTATTGATTTATATGACTGGTGTCTAGCACAATCCAAAACGGCCAGCAATCCAACCATTTTTAAAACTGAAAGTGCTACCAGTAGCACTACCTCGCGGTCACCTCTAGATCATGCCACAGCTGACCACTTCTCCACAGAAAAGACTGACGTCAAGCTGAGCAGCTCCGCAAGCATTTTGTCTGCTAGATGCACACATTCAGTCATGCCTTGTCCCCTGCATTGCCATCGTCGCTGTACAAAATGTCGACTAAGGTTGAATAGAAAAGCCTGGAGCTTGGAATCTTTGCGATTCACGATGCCACAGATCAGTTTTGCTACTATTGACCCTTTGCAGAACAGCGTTTTCAAAAGAGACGCCGTTCCAAGCAGCAATGCTTAGAAAGGCGTGCTCCTTCAAACCCGAGGATGCATGCTTCGGCCATGCTAGCTCATGCGTCTGAATTACCTATATTGGTGTGTTTTGGCGGGCGCAGAATTCAGGTATACGCAAAGAAATCAATGGAATATCGGTATAGGTAATGCGCACCAGCAGAGAAACAGAGTACGTTCCCTGCTTGCCAGGTTCTTTTTTGCGCCTCCAAATCGCCCCACCTATCCGGCCTCTGATGATGGTGGCAGCAGTGACCTACCAGGTATTACCCGGGTGCAAGGAAGTCTATGGACAAACTAAAATTCACTATCAACGATACCTGCAAGTTACTTGTTAGCGATGATACCTGTTTACAGTCGACGTCCGATTTCCCGGACATGCCCGATTTCCCGGACTCATCTGTGGCACCGCAAAGTTCCCCATAAAGTCAAGGTATTAAATAGTCCGAAATTCCAAACGCTTATAGCCTTTGGACTTTTTACTGTTATGAGGGCTCACCAGCTCCAAAACAACTCAGATTGGAACTTTTTGTGTTCATAGATGGCAGCACTTACACACCATAATAAGGTGGGAAGTTCGAGCACGCTCTAGGCGTCTAAATCTCACCAGGATACTGAAATCTCACTCTGCGTGTGAAAGTAGCACTGCGGAAAACTTGCCCGGGACTACTTGATAATGCGGTGAACACTTTGTCTGAAAACATTCCAAGTTTTTCTGCCTGAAGCGTAGCAAATGATACTGCGGTGTCAAAACTTTTTACGGCCTAGCGATCCTCAGACTTCTCGCTTTTGTCATACCGCATCTGTTGCTTCAACAATGCTAATTATGTGCCTTGACAGCTGTCTGCTACTTATTGTGAGAGGCTGTGACACATTTTCAGCAGCCCTTTAAACAAGATGCAAGAAGGTGTTGTTTGCTTCCTCGGGCTATGGGCACAAGGATCAGCGCCTTTAGTTGTCGTATGCAGAATGCAAGGTGGACGAGGTCACTGCTCAGAACACCCTTTGTTCTGCGAATTCACCCCGACGGGGGACTGGTACATGTTGTTGAACTGCCACAGCAGTATTGTAAACATGAAGCGATTGATTCTGCCGGTAAAACTTTCTTTACAGTCGAATAGATGGCAGACGACCGGTGCGGCTTTATGAAGTACGCTGAGCTAGCAGTGCATGGTCAGAGTTCAGTGTGCAGCGAAAATGAATATCTGTGCGAGGCCATGAACATAACCAGAGTTCGTTCCTGTTTACAAATGTGGTGATAACTCGAGTAACTGGGTGATAAACGCCCGAGAAATTACCGTAATTACTCGAATCTAACGCGCTTTTTTTCCGGTTAAGCGAGTTCATAAATCGCATGCGCGTTAGAATCGAGTACGAAAAAAAAGTGAGTACGGTCATTCTACTGCCATCGGCATTTCCGAAGTGGCCGCCCCCTACGTGCGTCGGCATGGCGCGTCGGCCATTTCTGCCTATGTGTTTCCCATGTGGGGCACTTCGTACGTGTGCTGAAGAGTTCGTCATCTTGTAGTGCATTAGCATCGACGGCATGGAAGGGCAGACTCCGAAAACTCGAGCGCACCACGATGCCGCTTTTAAAAGAAAAGTCATCGCGTGTGTAGAAACGGGCGGAAATCAGGCCGCATCGCGGTCGTTCGGAATTCCCGAAACGTGCGTGCGGGACTGGCGGCAACAAAAGCAGAAGATTGTCGACAGCAAAGCTTCACGCAAAGGCTTCAGTGGACCACAGCAGGGTCGGTTTCCGCAAATTGAAGAGCTGCTCGGCGAGTATGTGCTTGATCAGCGAGCGGCACAGCGGTCCGTGACGACAGCACTGCTCCAAATGCGGGCTATGCAATTAGCCTTAGAAAAAGGTCTAATGCGGAGCCAGTTTAAAGCGAGCAGGTGCTGGCTAACTAACTTTATGAGGAGGAAAGGCTTTTCCCTCCGAAGATGAACGGGCATATGGGAAAAGTTTTGCAAAGGAGTACGATAAAAAGCTTCACAGTTTTCAGAGGTTCACCCTAAGCTTGCGGCACAACAACGGCTACCTGCTTGGGCAAATCGGGAATGCCGATCAGACGCCTCTTCACTTCGACATTCCTGGCACCACAACCGTCGAGAAGAAGGGGGTGAAGCAAGTTCGCGTGCTGACATCGGTCCACGGTAAAACTACAGCGATGGCAATGCTCTGTTACACGTCAGATGGGCACAAGCTTCCCCTGTACCTCATATTTAAATGGAAGACGCTCCCGAAAGGAGTCGTTTTTTCGAGTGGTGTGATCGTGCGGGCCAGCGAGAAAAATGGGTGCGCGTTGCAATCGGTGTCTTACTTTTTTTTTTTTTTCGTCGTAGAAATCGGGTGCGCGTTACAATCGAGGGCGCGGTAGAAATCGGGTGCGCGTTACAATCGAGGGCGCGGTAGAATCGAGTAAATACGGTACTACAGTGCACTCGACTTCCATTTCTTTTCCTTTTTTTCACTAAAAGTAAGCTATATACAGCGTGGTGCGGAGCCAACTTTCACACTTGAAATTGTTGATAGAATCACTGTTAGCGATGATAAATGACAAAATTGGTCATATTAATACACACCGAAGTTTTCCCTGCTTCCATATTAAATATATGCCTACTTAAATGTTACTTCAAGGAAAATGAACAGGTGAAGCGTAGAAATGTAGAATGGGCTTGAATTGTACAGCTTTCCTTGTATTGCAGTCATCACGATCCAAATGTGAAAACAGTTCACTGGATGACGGAATAAATGAATAAACTCATTTGAAAATTCGTCTGGCTGTTTTCTACGAAAAGAAAACTTTAACGATGTGCCGAAGAAAAGATCTGATACACACAAACACACCACGTATCACTCAAACCTCTGGCGGCTGTGGTGATGTTAATACAGTTTCAGTGTATGGAATAATGTCCATTGGCTCCATTGGCATGTTCGTGGTGTAGACAAAAAAAGGCATCAGCATTGAGGAAATTTCCAGGAATGAGGCCTTTTGGAAAAAAGAGATATTGCCCTGGCTCAAAAGATTTTACGTGCACTGCATGTTACCAGAGCTTGTAGATCCACGAAGGAGCCGTGGCCTTCCGATACGCGAGCCTGATTATATCGAAGACGCGCAAAGAAACCGCGTACTCAAGCAGGCTTTGAAGAAGACTCCTAAAAATTAGGCCGGCCAAAAAATTCCCTGAACAATCCTATTCCACTGCATGTGGAAGTTACTCCCTGCCAACCATCTCAGCACATCCCACATCTGGAGACCCTGAAAACAAACAAACCGCACCACCGTGGCCGACCCAGAAGAACTTGACACTCTCCGCAAGCTTGCCCGCCACATCGACAACATCAAAAGACAGCTCAGCTTCATCGAACAACACCTGTATCAACGCAGGTGCCCACGCTTTCACTCTCCAAGCCGAGACCACAACACCGCCTTGTCACAGCAGCCTGGTGAGCACGACCAGTGTTACTACCACCGATGCTTTGGGGACAGAGCCCAACAATGTTGACCACCCTGCTCTGCTCGGCACAAGGGAAGCGCAAACGGCAGCTCTTAGGCACAGCTGCAAGCTGTCAACCTGGAGGCCATTGCATCTTCGTCACCTACCAAATCACAAAGCAGCAATTCCTTGTCGATAGCGGTTCTGACATCTGCTGCTACCCGCGAGACCATCTTCAAAGTCCTTGCCCGCCGACATCTTTCGGGCACAGTGTGGCGAACCGGTCCACAATCAAGATGTACAGCTCGCTGCGCCAGCACATCCAGCTCAGGAACCTAGGCCGCCACCTTCCTTTGAATGTTGTCATCACTGACTTCACTGAACCAATCATCGAATCGCACTTTTTGGCACATTACAACCTAATCCCAGACTGCCGCCACAACAGTCTCCTCGAAACGGTTGTCGTGGCGGCAGTCCGGAAATCGTAATGATTGACGAGTGATTGCGTTTCCAGGCTTCGACGCCAGTCTGCGCCACGATAAGAACACTCAGATCTAAGACATCGTCGCTACTAGCGCATCGTCACTCGAGATGGTATGTGTGGAACGTATCACACCGAACACGTAGCACTAGTGTCGATGTGACAGGGGCACTGCATTTTCCATCAAGCTCTCGTACGCTGTTTGCTGTCGAAATAAAATAACTTCCACGCGATGGTCGTGATTCAAATTTGGTCAAGAGGACCTATTCACACCGAGAAATCGAATGAAGGGCACATCTCGATTCTGAAACTTGACGTCAGTGCTTCTTGAAGTAGTGTTGAGCCAAGTGATTCTACTTCTCTGTGAGACTAACAGTGGTGGGAACACCGTCCAGCATTTTGGAGCAGGCAAATCTGCTTTTAAGCAGCTACCTCTGTGTTTGGAGCACACGCGGTCTTTTTCATAGTACACACAGAGGAAGAAAACTTAGCTTTATTTAGTTTATTGTCCTCTCAATTTACATAATAATTTATACAGAAACAGCAAGCCTACAAAATAAGCACCAAAAAATAAACAAAAGCAGAATCCTATACAGAAGCGGAGAAAAAAGAGTGAAGGATATAGCACCGACTCGCTGGCTGCAGCATGAAGTTCTAGCAGCGCGTGCGCATGCTCACTCATGTAGACGCACCAACGGAAGGCACGGGGGAGGGGGTATGAGAGGGGGGGTGCAAAACCTGCCCCACACATTGACATGATAGGGAGGGAAATGCTGCGATAAACCTTTGCTTTACCCTCCTGAAGGAGAACCTTGGGCATGCCTATGCCACCTCCCCCTCACACACACACGTTGAAAGCTTGTTACAGTAAAACCTTGTCAATACGTACATACGAGCAAAAAATGCAGCAAGCCGCGTATAAAACGTGGAATGCATTAATCATCAAGTACCAATTCTTAACGCGCACCATCGCCACTGAAGAAGAAATAAATACAGTGCCACTGCAAATATTGCCTAAAGTTCCTACCACAAAGCCATTGCGTTTTCTTTGCCAATATTCAGAAATGATTGGCACTCTCGCACTATCTCACACGAACATCGGACGGCAGGCGGTGCCGACATCAAGGAGCATTTCGAAAGTACCAAGGAGTCCGGGATACGCAGCTGAGGCAACAATGGCATAGCGACAAAATGGACATATGCAGCTGTCCGCGATAAATGTGTACCGTGATCTGCTACTTGGCGAAAACAGGCAACTTTTTGAGACCGGGTACGGTCGCAGGGAAGCCGATTGTCTACTTGCTAGTTGCGTACAGCACTTTGCCTACTTGGCACACACACCGTGCCGGCCACTTGCGCCCACCCAACTTCAAACCACGCACAGATGTGGCAAGAAGGCTACTGCGTTAATGCAATGATGCGAGCCTCCTGCAAGCAATGCTCTAGCGGTCTTGGTAGCGAAGGAAGGTGTGTCAGGGTTGTTGTTTCATGAAAGCGTGTAGTATGCTTGCTGCCTCGATGCCTACGATCCGCAAGGATCAAGTTAGCGAAAGAGAGCTGCTTCTGTTTCTGCAAAGCAGTGCATGCTGAATGCGGTCCCGTACAGCGATCGAGGCGGCAGCGATTGCCCCCCCCCCCCCCCCCCGTGCCAACGCAGTCGGCAGTTATTAAAAGCATGCAGTAAGCTTAAAGCGACGGCACGTTGCACATGTAGGTTTTTTGTTGGCGATGTCATACTGACACACTTTTCAGTGGACGCCACATTGCCTTCGGTCTTTGCCAATTGTTATGAAAAAAGGCACCGCCACAATCGCGCGAAAGTCAGAATAATTGATCAATCGATTCCGTACTGCTGCAGCAGCGCAACTTTAGGGAAGTTTTTAAGATAATAACCATCTGGTAATTTTGGTGACGATTACTTTCGGTTGCACAATCACCTTGTGGTGCAGCAATGGTGCAAATTAGACAAAAAAGACCCTTTTGGAGCAGCATGATGCCCAAATTTCCAGTTGTCACAGATTGGCACAATTGGCACAGGTTTTCCACCACTGGACTTACCAAGCAATTTCGACTATGTGAGACCACGGCCACTGGATAAAAAACAAGGTGTGGCCTGTTGCGTCACGTCGCTGTCAATGGGCGAGCGCGTCTGGGCAGAGTTGACAGTTTTGGCCGCATTTGGGGAGGGCGCTGACGCTCCACCCGTCGAAGCGGATGGCACTTCGTGTTTCAATGTGGTTGCGTTAGGATTTGTGCATGTCTGTGTGCTTTCTTGTGCTTATTTTGTGTGCTAGCATGTGTGGGGGCAGTTTGCTTCAAGTTTCTTGTGATCAAGTACGGTTCTTTGGTGCACGCATGTGTGGGTGCTGATGAGCAGCTCGAACGCGAAAAAATAAGCTAGATTGAAGTACAACGTATTCCCCTGCAATCTACAGCACCAAGCAGCATATCGAGATGCGTATTATTCGTAACAGAGCACTTATTTTTGTCACAAACGAGGACTGAAGCAGACGCACGTCATTGCTTCCAGACGACAGCATCAAATCACCATGCCAAACGTTTCCTTCACGAACGCGCGCAATGAAACAAGAAAACAAGCATCAAAAGGCACCCAAGGCGTGCTCTTACCCTCTACACATGTGACAGCTAACCAGCACAGATTAGTAGAAATCAAGACATTGAAACGGGGTCTTTTTTGGGGGCGACCGTTTTCGCAGATGAACCGGCAAAACGAAACTCTTTCCCCTGGCTGCCGCCCTGGTACGTGCTACGCACAATACAATTGCTTAGAATGTTCGCAAAACCGTGAAGGATCATAAGTAGATGTGTTGGAGGGTGGGACTGTTCGTGAACATCGGCGAAGAAGTTGTGATGTTTGAGCGGTGTGAGCGATTCGTGTAGCGCGGTGAGCAGATGTAAAAAGAATGGAGTTATGACACCACTGGAGAACTTTGTTGAACAGTGCGGCCGGGATGGCGACCAGCGCTGGAGTTCGTTTCAGTGTTTCCATGAAGAGAAATTTTCGAAACACGTTCGAAAAATTGTGAAGTAGAAGCGTGTGTCGAATATTTGGGGCTGCTAAGTGTTCTTGCGCAGTTTATGGTGTTTGAGATTGCATTGGTAGAGCGGTAAGTTTGTTCCCACTGTTTTAAATACCTTCTAAGTGATTTTGTGAGTTTTACTTGGTAGCTGCAGAGTGTGCAAGTTTGTGTGATGCCTTTGCTGAGAATACATAATTTGTGTTGTTAGCTCTTGCTTTTTAACTTGGGCTTTGGACCGCAACTGGCATAGTTCATGCATTAAAAGAAGCAACGTTTAAATTGTGCCTGTTTTCGCGGTGCTTTTCGGTAGGCTGATACATCAGCGCTTAAAATCTGCCCGGAAATTACTTCCCCCTTAACGGAATCAGTGACCTTTTTCATTTAAGGTGAGTCAAATGGGCAGCATTCATGGACTGTGACCTATACTCCACGAATGATTGGCCCTCCTGTGACATACTTTTCGCATATGTGGTGTAAAAGGTACTCCTAATAACGAATAAGATTCGAACCTGTGATGTGCAGTTACGAAAAGTGTTATTTATGGCCTACTGTGCCGTGTAAAAATGTGTGTGAAAGCGCTTCTCCTGGGAGAAGGGGTGGCGCGAACTAGGCCCGACCTACTGCCTCGATGGCATACAGCAGGCCGCGCATTGTTTTTTATCCAGCGGCCGTGGTAAGACCAAGCAATTCAGCAACTGTACAAGCAAAGAAGACTTTAAAATATATTACACATCATAGAAAAGCGTACATTTGCATGCAAACTTTGTTGAAGCCACGTGCTTTGCTGATACACATGAAAAAACTAATTAATTATCCATATAAATAATATTGAAATAATTATGATTTCATAAGCAGTTTCATATACCACTTCTATAATTCTAGAAGTAATCTTATTCATGCTAATTCACAGCATGATGCTCAGAGGAAAGCCTGAAAATGACAAGGTGACCTTGGAAAGAAAGCATGGAGCAAGATGCTGCAGGACTGCTTCACATTTAAAAAGGAGAGAACAAATAAAAAAAGAGTAAGTTTAGTACATACTCAGCATTTCGTTCCATCCGTTCTTCAATCTGGCCCACCAGAGAGTGAATCCTCGGTGCATGAGTCCTAAACTTGCCGTACAGCAGTGCGAAAGAATTGTCGGTGGAGCACAGGGGGTCCTTGCGGGACAACACTTGGTGTGTCGTGTGCTCCAGGGTACTCGTCACGTACGACCGAATCATCTCCAGCGCCTGCCACTGCATGTGTTTGAACTTGACCAGGTAGGCCCCAGCTTCTTTGTATTGGGGCTGAAATAGCAGAAACCAACGTCAGTTAGGTGGAGTCTGTGGCCCGAGGTGTGTAAATACTACATGGGCGTAGAGATGTTACGTTTTTCTGAAATCACTATATTATGTGGATAAATTAAGGAACTGCACATTTAGGGGTTTTCTTTGTTAGACACAATATTAATCAGATATAACAGACAATCATGCCAAGGGAGGTATATGATATATTATTAGAAGTAATTGTAAAGTAAATGTGAAGAAAGAAAAGTGGACGAAAAGATAAGTTCCTGTGGGCAGGAACCGAACCTGCGACCTTCGAATAACCCGTCCGATGCTCTACCAACTGAGCTACTATGGCGGCTATGCCTTGTCCGCTTTATGGAGTGTATATGTGCATTAAGGGGGGCGCGGGTTCTAGAACTACCAAAATGGCCAAAAAATTGATTTCTTGCAAAACTTATTTTTGCGGCGTTTGTGCTTCTGAGCACCTACTCTTGAACTACTATTTCTAAGTTCGATCAGGAAATGCGAAAAAATGGGCTTTTTAACATACAGGTTTAGTTGCTTTTAAACACGTTTTAAAAATGTAAATCCTAGAGTTTCCTCTAAATACATTAGAGGGAACTCTTGTGTTAGTGTCTATGAGAGCTACAACACATGACTTTTCATCTAGCATCGGAACGATGGGTAGTACGTGGATTTGTCTATTCGTCGTAGTTTCTGCTCTGCTTGGTTTTACGTGGCTTAGACCTGTTTTGTCTTGAAATAATAATAAGCAAATGTTCAGCAGTTGCACTTCAATACCTTAACATATTAGGCTCACTAATTCAAATCTGGTAACAAAGTTCAAAATGAACAGTTCTTTTATTCGTAGCAAAACCAAAACACTGTAATTAGCAAAGCCACAAGTGCGTTCTAAGCCCGCAAGCATGAAGAGGCATATTCATGTACTAGCCATTATTCCCAGGGTTGGTGATTGATCCCAACGCCAGAGTCCCCTCTAGTTAATTTCAGGAAACTCTATGCAACTCGGCCCGGGAAAGGAATGCTTGAATCTGTCACTATAACTCATGCTCTTTTCATTTCCACCAAAATCTAATCCCACGTTCTGGCCAGTTGTCGGTCCCTTTAACTTTTTCTCTCAAAGGCAACAAAGTGTTTTTTTCTCAAACAAAATAAAGAAAATATTGGGGTCTTGTATAACAAAACTAAAAAAGTCTTATGAGGGACGCCGCAGCTCGAAACTCTGAACTTATTTTGTTCACTTGGGCTTTCTTCATAGAGTGCACATATATCAAAGTACATGGGTGTTTCTGCATTATGCCCCCAATGAATTGTGCGGTTACAATTTCCATTCACGACGACCACCGTAACCAAGAATCATACCCGCACTCTTGAAATGAGCAGTACTACATCTTAGCTGGCAACCAAGCCACAACGATGATGAGTTGCATGACAAAAGTATATTTGTATCCAAGCAACATGGCTGCATATGTGCCGACCAAACTAAGTGACAAAGATGCCCTTACACACTCACGTTTGATTCTAGATAGCTGATGCACTCGTCCAGTCTTGTCAACATGGGTATGAAAGTTTCACTCAGAACAGAAATGTCGGGGGAAGCCATTTTCTGAATCGAGAAGAAAAGAAAAGGTGAGTGCAGTCACACGAACATAACGACCATTCATTCTCAAAAGTAACCTGCAAGTCTTACTTGGGATAAGGTGTCCAACTCTGTGAAGTACCGCAGTTTTTCCGCAATGGTTTCAACGGCGTTCATTAGTTTTGACTGCAAAGTAGTAGACAAGGTGTCACTAATAATGATTGGGATGGTGCATAAAAAAAAAACAAGAAGAAAACACAAATCCACGAAGGTACCTGTTCATCCAGCAGGTGCTCGCAGGCTTCGTGAAGTGCATTCGTTTTGTTCGACACAAGCTCGTATTCCTCTTGGAGCAACCTCAATTGTGCCATCGACGCATCGATTTCACTAAGCAGTCCGCAGCACTTTTCCCGGTACGATGACACCACATCAATGTAGTTGCTGTTAAGAATGACAAAGCTATGCAATTAGATATTAGGATGCAGTAAACACTATGATATTAGGATGTAGTAAACACTATCAATAAATTGTAAATTTGTGTTGCCATTTTCTTGAGGCATGCTACAAAGACTATCAGGAGTAACTGTAGCGTTAGTGTCCAAAAGAGTCACAATTATGGCAATACAGCCAGCACGAAATGATTTACAGTATGAGAGTTTTCTCAGACTGTATTCTTCTGGTTTCTAGCGAATTTGCGACTGTCATATTGCTACACAAATGCAATACTTTGCACTGATTGTGCATGTGTGCAAAAAATAATAACCTATATGGGTGCACAAAATTGTGGGCACTTGAAATGTAGAAATGTCAAACGAAGTAAATATTGTAACAAGTGTGCTCGAATCGAGAAGCATGATGATTTTACTAGCCAAGAAACTATCTTGTCGCCACAGTTTCTTTATCAATCTCTGAAAACTCCTTCGGCACAGTTTTTTCCTTCAACTGGGCGCGACATTAAGAATGACGAAACATGGGAACTTGTGCCTGAATGACAACACCATGCATCTCGTCTGAGGACTGGCCGAGGGCAGTATTAAATTGACCAGTAAAATACGTTGTACAACAACAACAACAAAGATGCATAAACAAACGGCTTCATACGTATATTCCCAGTCACTTTCCTCCATCATCCTCTCTTCCACCTCGGAGAACCACGTCAGGAACTACAAGAGAACATCGAATAAGGCGTACTGCTCGCAAGCAACTGCGAGACGTGACAAGTGTTGAAGCTGTTGTCAGCGTACCTGTTGTGCATTCGTGATCGCCACGTCTCCTTTCCAAACTTTTTGCAAGCATTCTGGTAACTCGGACAGTTCGGGAACCAGTGGCATCGCTTTGCGTTTGGGGTCTGGCGTCGTCGACAAACTCGGTGGCATCTGTAATTAGTTTTATTACCCCGTCGATTGCGCACAAAAAAAAAAAAAAACGTTCTGAAGCACGAACAGCGAGCCAATAAAGTTGCTAAAAGGTACGCCCATGCATTTGCTACCAATCGGTGAGCAACGGTGACGTAGCGTCACCTGCGCGAGTAGTAGCCGTACGAGTCGACCTGGTACAGTAAACATTCGAGGTTTTCCTAGAATGGTCACGTTATTCATTCTTACAATAGACAAACCCTTCCAGCTGAATATTCATCAAATGCCTTCACAAAGGGAGAGATAAAACACAGCGGCGAAAGCAGGATCTGAATAATAAAATTAAAAAAAAAACATTTGATCTAACTTTTAGGAACACGCAAGTTTAGCAGGGAACTCTTCTAACAGCCAGCGTCATACACTGACAAGCATTTAATTTAAATCACCGAATCATTAGCTACACATTCCGTCTTTATTTTTCGCGATTTTTGGGGTATCCAGTAGGCACAAATAAATGCATGAACGGTCCGGACCAGCAGAGTCTGAAACCATCTCACATCACCGCCAGGTCACTTAATTAGACACGGAAAAAAAGGTACTTACTCCATCGGGCATAGGGCGCTCTGCAACATGGGCCATGAGCTGAGATATGCCTTCAGCTTGTTTCTCAGTGATTGGTGCCAGAGGTTCCGACGGGTGTTCCCAATTTTCCAAGTTATCCTTGATTTCCTTCATGTTTACATGGGACGCGGCTGCCATGTTGCCACATGTATGCGTCGAAGCAACCATGGTTCCGGTAAGCAAGGGGGCGTGGCGATGCGTTTTAAACGTATAATAAAGTTTTGTTCACCGAAAAAAATAGGACATTTTAAAAATAAAGCTTGCAAGTTTGCAGTTGAGCATGTTTTTTGCAGTTTGCTTAAAACAAAACAGTTATTGTATTCTACAAACGTCGTGAGATGGCAGCACTACCTCGACTGCATAAAGAAGCGCCATATTTTAAACTATTATTTCTCGCAATGAATTGCATCCTTCTTACTTCGCAAGAAAGAAAAGAGAAAATGATACTGTGGGGCCCTACATGAGAAACAAGATTACATTTAAATCATCACAATGCGATAACCATAAAGTTTAGATGATTCAGCACTTTCGGTGTGCCATTTGCATTTCATGTAATTGCATTGAAAAGCAAGCATACAACGACGTGTTTAGCTCACACACGCTGGGATACATTTCGAGCAAGCTTGCCTAGATACCTATGCTGAGGCCCCACAATATATAGATTAACTTGCCATAGCACCCATCAGAGATAGCTTGCTGCGATGTTAAAAAAAAGAACACATTTGTACGAGAATTTTCGATTAATTTGATGTATCTTTGGAATAACGCATTGCAGATTTGTGCAGCGCGTGCATCAGCACGTGTATTTACATGCGCGTGGTAGAGTTTTTCGATAGCTTTTTTTTTTGTCCCCTCGTACTTATGAATGCGTATCACTCATGAATGTTTGGTGTGCAAGGCTTATTGTTGAAATTCACAATGCGCCAGCCTTCTGACTGAGCACGAGTGACGTACGTTCCCGTGCAGGGCCGTATAGCCACGGGGAGCAGGGGTCAGATCTCCCCCAGACTGAAGTTTTGTTTGCATGCGTATACGTGCTCACATACAAATACAAACAGGAACATAGTATGGTTGAACTCAGAGGCGTAATTAAGACGGCACCCATGGCAAATGCCGTGCCCTTCAGGATGGTAATTACAGTGATTCTTGTTATTTGTAATAATATTATTGTTTTGTGCGAGCAAAAAGTCATTTGGCTGTTTGAGTGGTAATGTGTTTGAGCGAATGAGTGATATCTTGTTTGACCGATTATTCCCTACAGTGAAATAATGCCGTCTGGCACGTCCACGCATCGTACTACACACTCAACGTTCACAAGGTATGAAAAAAAAGAAGTGTTACAGAAGAAATGAACCTTGCAGGTCACTTGTTGTCGTCTCGTTTGCACGAAACACGCGGAGTTCATAAATTACATACACCCAGACAAAACGGAACGATTAATTAGGCGTGAAAACGTTTCTTATCGTTTTTGGCTACACCACCACAAAAGTTATTCTTTCAAATTATTTATTGCGTACATCAAATATGTATACTATGCCTACAGCTTTCTTTTCAATACTAATGATGCGTTCGATAATTCGTTCTGGCAAATCCCTTTCTCGCATATTATATAATGCCTTTTGTGACGCCAGTGCTAATTTTGATGATGAACAATAGTTGTAAAAAAAAACCACGTTCTTTATATTCGACATATAACATGGTGCACGCGCATCGCAAAAAAAGCTGTCACTATCCGGTCACACGGTTATGCCCTCGGCTTTCCTAGACCAGCTAGGCGTCTCAAACACGCTGCCCTCAGACCTCTTGCCAGTGAATCGCGGCCTTCATCGCACTTTTTTTCTTCGTTATTTTCTCCCCTAATAGGTGCGGTCATAAGCTAAACAGACATGACTAGTCTAAAGTATGTCTGTTTTTCTTGAGGGAACCCCTGCGGTCAACATGTTTTGATGCATAACCGCAAAACAAACTGAATATCTCACAATTGTTGTCCAGATGTCAGTAGTTTTGGATGAACGTTTATGTTGTCGGAAAGCCGGTGCCAAATAGCCCTCAGAAACTACCCATATATGAGAGGGGAGAAAAGTATTTCAAACGCCAGCGTTGGAAATTTGAAACGTAGCCTCTTTTGTGTGTGTTTTGGTACCCCAACCGGTGTATATATCTACCGTATCACGATGATACCATCTCACGTGACCACTATAACCCACTCGCATGAGACATCGATCGAAAACTTGAGCTCTATTAGCAGAAGATAAAATGTCATTGCAGCTTGCCGCCTCACTGAGACCGGCAGTAAAAATGGGAAATGATTTAAACTCCAACCAAAAGTTTTTAAGAAACCCGACGTTTCGGAACCGACTTGGTTCTTTCCTCAGGGGAAACTGGGACTACGTAGCAGCAGCGTCTTCAAAGCACTCGCGGGGTAAATATTACCCCCCCCTCCCTCTCTCACTTTGAATATGGCGCTGCTACGTATGTAGTCCCAGTTTCCCCTGTGGAAGGAACCAAGTCGGTTCGGAAAATGTCGAGTTTCTTCAAAGCTTTTGGTTGGAGTGTAAATCGTTTCCCAGTTATCATACCCAACCAGACAGACATCTGTCGAGTGTTTACATTCAAGGCTGTAAAAATGTTCGACACCCCCTCCCCGAGGTTGTGGGTAAAATATGAGCGTATAAATCTTTTGTGGTGTAACTCTCCTGCTTGGGCATCTGATATGCACAGACAGTTGGATGCCTTAAAGGTATACGCTTTAGCGAGAAACTTGAAGTTGACCTGGAATGAGCAGGGCCATTGAAGAATGCGTGCAGTTTTGGATGTGCGTGCAAAGATAAGTGAACAGAGGAGATAAAGTGGAGACCAAATATCTCACATTCAATTTATTTCATCCGAGACTCAGTGCTGAAGGCGGGTCGTGATGAATCCGATTGTTCACAGCGAATTAGAAAGTGCCATCACACGTACGTCACCACGCGTGCAGGTGCTTGGCCACGGTGCAGTGAAGCCATGGCTTTCATGATTGCCGTGATGGATATGGTTTCAGACTTTGAACCTCGAAGCCGGATTGCATTTCAGTGAGTCTGCATTGATCCACTGTGCTCCCGGAGCGGCAGCAGGTCTTTCTGTGAACGAAGCGTGGCTCCGTCGTTTTCGCCGACGGCAGCGTCTGATTGCCGAATGCTGTTCATGTACTCGCGTATTTGATTTTTCGTTTTTAATAATGGCCCTTTCGTTTTGGAGAACTCAAGCACAGGTGCCGTGCCGGGAAGAGAGTCGCGGAAATGCAGAGCAGAGCCATGCAGGGCTACTCAATCTGCCCCTGGAACACTGCATGCGCAACCGAAGAGCAGGTGGGAGGGTACCAGTGAGAAGAAGTGTAACGTGAGATCAAAACCATTGAAGCCCTATAGTTTGCTGCAGCAATGGCAGAACACATGTGAAATCCGACGCAGAACTGCTGTGGGGCTTGCTCGTATAAACGACGTCAACATCACTGGAGTCATACTACACCTGTATGCTGTTATTGCCGCCGTGCTCACCGACAGAAGAAAGGAAAGAGAACGAAACTAATGAGGAAGATATCAAAATGAATATCTCTCGGCAACCCACGGATGGACTGCGTTTGTGACCATAGCGGGAAACGTCATGAGAAATTAGTACAGTTGGCGTCAATTGAAACATGAACGTCAGCAAGCATTAACAATGATCTAATGTGCCCCATCCAGTCATCCCCGGGAACATGCGCAGTCACGTCGAATATCGCTGATGCGCGCTAATCTTCATGCATGGTGATGACTGTACGCATTCCATAGGACGCCGGTAGTACATATCGTTTAGTTTTTCGGACTTTTATCTCTTGTTAAAGCTGAGTTCACAGCAATAACAGCATAAATGCTATCACGATAGGATAATTTGCATGACAGTTTTACATTCTGTATCTCTTCAGGACTAGTGTGCACGAGGCCCATTACTGGAGACACGGCCGCTCCGGTCGACACATGCTACCACATCACAATCACGTGATGTTACTTTGCTATAAGTACGGGCCGCTGGTGGCCCGAGCGCTTTCATTTCCCTGCGTTTCCCCCTTCGATCAGCCTATAGTTTCACAACCAGTTAATGAGCACTGGCATCTAGAAGCAACAAGAGCTTGAAAAACGCAGCCAATGTCTTCATTGTGCCTGCGTGCCCCAATTAATGCACCGCGCATGCAAAAGAGCAGAATGTATTTTCACATTTACAGTTTTGATCCAAGGATAACGAACATCAAGACACATGGATGATAAAGCTAGCCTAAGGGTCAATGAGCCGTAGTTCCACGTATGTGTTTGTTGCAAGCACTTCAGAGAAGGCGACTTTGTCTGCGCATTATAGAAACACAAATGTTAATTTGAAGAACTACAGTGCATGAGTTCGCACGTGACACCTCTCTCTCTCTCTCACCGCGAATAGTTTTCTAAGAAATCATTTGGGTACGCTGATTGGAGAAAATACCACGGATGGAGAAATCCGCGATAAACAGAGAAAAATGGGGACAGGTGACGCAACTTGATGGAAGAAAGCATGTGAACGAGTTTCTGATTTTAGAAAGATAAACATGAAACATTGCAGAAAGGCCTTTATTTATTTTTTTTTTATTTAGTCCATTTATCTTGATGCCTGCCCATGAAAGCTCGTCGTAAGCTTGAAGACTGACTTGTCTGATGAGGTGGTAAACAGTTTCTCGATCGCAACTCTTGAGCAACAAGACCGTACGATTTTCCCTTCAAAATTCTAGTATAGGTTATATAAGTGTTGAAGAACCAAGGTGGTTTGGGCCGAACCAGAAGAAAACGAACATTGCAAGGGATAAGTTCAGTGGTGCAGCTGGAAAAAAGTTAGCGTGGTTCAGCCTCCCACAGCACCAATAATATTACATTTGTACTTGCATATATATTCGCGCACACACAAATACATGCCGGATAACAAATAAAGCGAACAGAGAACCAGAAGAAAGTTTGTTCCAGGGTTCTGTATAGTACGCTCATGATTAAATCCTACTTATGCGGAAACATGCTTACCTCGACCTATTTATCGCGTTGTTTTTCATGGACTTTATTATGAGCAAGGATCAGCTGGTTTCTCGTTATATGAGCTGCAGGTT